ACAATAATAAAAACAAATATAATAATAATAATAACATAATAATAATAATAATAATAACATTAACAATCTTTGAAAAAAAATCTTACCATTCTCTAAAACTTCCAGTAAGACGGCCACCATAACGCTACCACCACCACCACTACCACCACTACTACTACTACTACGACTACTACGACTACTATCATCGCCATCATCATCATCATCGTCGTCGTCGTTGCTAGCCATGCACTGATAAACTCCCGCGTCAGCCATCTTTACACCAAAAATTCCCAACGTATTATCGTCCGCGTTTACGTCATAATTATTTATATCTTTGTTGTAATTACTATTTATATCTTTGTTATAATTACCAATTATATTTTTGTTATAATTATTGTTGTTGTTGTTTTTATTGTTATTATCTACAATACTCTTGTTAGTTATATCTTTATTGCCATTTCCACCACTACTAACACCACCACCACCACCATCATGGCCACCACTTCCGGCAGGGTGGTGATGATTTTTGTAGCGCCGAATTTTTTGGCCGTCCTTGTACCAGGTGATTTTAGGTCTGGGGTAGCCCTCGGCCACACACGCCAGCTCGAGGTCAGCTGTTTCCGTGACGACAATGAAGTTTTCGAGTGGGAAGTCTATTATCGTCGGTGGCACTAAGTGAAATTATTTCAATAATTATAATAATTATAACTATAATTATAATAATATTATTATTGTTGTTTTTATTTGTTGTTTAAAGTTATCATTTGTTATAATGGATTTTGATTGTTTTTTTTGAATGGTTATAAAGATGACAATTATTATAAAACTGACGATGATGATGATGATGTTGATGAAGATGATGATGACGACGATGATGACGATGATGTGAGTATCATCATCACATCATGTCAGCGGCCTAGAAAATACATAAAAACGAGCATAGATAGAACAATTACTCTATCCATTACATACAGCCACCATCCGGTTTCAATTTCAAAGCGGGAAGAAACTGACATCAGTGGTGATGATAATGACGTCATCATCACCACTCACGCCATCATCATCATCATCATCATCATTATCACCACCATCATCATCGGCAGTAGAAACAACACTGACTGACATCATTATCAGTACTCTGATCTTTGCAACCATCATAACTATCATCGCCATCATCATAGTCATCACTGATTCTTACCTTATCTGACCGCCCATCTCAGCTTTGCAATGATTATCATATCCAGGATCATCATCATCGTCGTCGTCGTCATCATCGTCGTCGTCATCATCATCATCATCATTATTACTGACCATTAACATTAACATGCACGTGTGTGTCGATGGTATCTTCATCATTGCCGACCCGACACGTATAAAGACCGCGGTCGTCGTCATTCACGTTTGACACAATTAGGCTGCCTTGACCTACTTTTTGGGTTCTCCCATTGGTTCTAGATGTGCGTGCGTGTGCGTGCGTATGTGTCATTTGTGTGCGTGTTTGTATGCGTGCTAAGTATTAATACTTACATCTTAATTTTTTTTCGTTTTAGATGCTTCTAACAAGAAAATCATTTATTTGAATGAGAAAATAAATAAAAGAGAGAAAAATAGATTAAATAGAAAAATAGAGATAGTGAAAGAGAGAGAGAGAGAGAGAGAGAAAAGAGAGAGAAAAGAGAAAAAAGAATAAACCTTGACCTTATGGTAAACCCGTTTTTCAGCCAATGAACGCTCGGTAGCTTTCCGTGCTTGTCTCTACCATTGGCTGCACAATGCAACAACAGTCGGTCCATCTCATTAATATTCATGAATTCCGGGGGTTTAAACATGAAATGAGGTGCTGAAGGTTTCTGATTGACTGCTATATTTAGAATGGGTATTTTAATGGAGAAATTTTTTGTGTTGTTTATGGGGTGTTGATAAATAAGATCGATATGAACAACAGTATCAACAGCACAAACAAACTTTGGTCAGCAACAACAACAGCAGCAGCAACAACAACATCAACAACTACAACAATAACATATAACGTGGTCACCAACAACAACAACTACAACAATATACCATGGTTGTCAACAACAATAACAATTACAACTACAACAACATACCCTGGTCGACAACAACAACAATTTGCGCTTCTCTGCTGACAAGTCGTTCATCAACGACACACTTGTACTGTCCGCCATCTTTAATTTCAACCGGAAATACTTCCAAAGATCCGTCTTCGTGAACCAAAAACCTCGAATCTTCTATGACATTACTTCCGGGTTTATTGTTATTCTTATTTATCGCATAAGAATAATTTTGATGTTTGGATTTTGGAGACGGCTTTAAATTTTTAAGGCTTACTTTTATATTTTTCTTATTATCGCTCCCATTTTTAGTTCTTTGTTTATTATTATCATTATTAATAATATTAATATTATTATTATTATTGTTATTATTATTATTATTAAAGTGATGATCGTTGTTGTTATAATTTTTGTTGTTGTTGTTGTTAGTGACACCAAACCTACCATTGCTGACGTCACCGGCATTTGAAAGAGGTTTACTTCTTTTCCCGCTGTCGAGATTCATTTCGATACCATTCCGAAACCATTTGAAACTACGCTTGGCTGAGAGGCGCTGGTCGTTCGTCAGGCATGGGATGATGAGCAAGTCTCCGGGTTTGATGTTGGTGTTTTCGGGTTCCTGTAAGAACTCTAAGTGGCCTATTTGTGTATGTGTGTGTGTGTGTATGTATGTGTGTGTGTATGTATGTATGTGTGTGTGTGTATGTATGTATGTGTGTGTATGTATGTATGTATGATGTGTGTATATATGTATGTATGTGTCTATGTATGTGTATGTATGTATGTGTGTTTATGCGTGTGTGTTGTATGTACGTGTGTTGTATGTGTGTATGTATGTATGAATGTTAGCATCAATCAACCGAGGTAATGAACAGACGAGAACGACGTTTTTAAAAACAGCACTAACGTGTGATTGAGAGTCGAGCTCTTTTGCTGATGGCTGTTAGGATTTTTGTGTTGTTGTTGTTGATGTTGATGTTGATGTTGTTGTTGATGTTGTTGTTGTTGTTGATGTTGCTGATGACGTTGATGTTGTTACTTTGGTTATCATCGCTTGTATTGTCAGTTTCGGTTAAATACCGAATCGAATATTTAATCGAAACGATACATTGGTACATCCCTTCGTCATCAACATCATCGTCGCCATCACTATTATGATCTATTCTATTATCTTTGTTATCATTTTTATCGTCGCCGCCATTTTTGCTGACGTCATCAGCAGCGTCATCATCTGAATTCAAAATTAAGGTTCCATTCCTTAGGAGTGTCCTGTTGTAAATAATTTTTGTTCTAATGATAGTACACAACATCATTTGTCTTACTGCTGCTGCTGCTACTCCTACTACTGCTGCTACTACTACTACTGCTGCTGCTGCTGCTGTTGCTACTATCATAACCACTGCTGTTTCTAATGTTACTACTCCAACTTTTACTGTTTCATCTAAAATGTCTTCCGTGAAAACCATTAATGATAGAGTAGTAAAATTACTAACTTCAATTTACCATCGATACTGATAAAGAGTGTGTGTGTGTGTGTTTGTGTAAATGTGTGTGCGTGCGTGTGTAAATGTATGGATGTGTGAAGGTGTAGTGTGTGTGTGTGTATGTTTGAAAATATGAAATTTAAATGGTATTTATAATGTATAAATGTACGTGAAGTCAGACGTGAAAACTTTGTG